TAAAAAATATATATTTTTATAAAAGAAGATAAATTTATATATAAAAAAAGTATGAAAAAAATAATATAAATACATTTGTAGAAATGTTTTTGATGTAATAGATTTAAAGCCAAGTTCCTCTACTATGGTATATCACAAGTACTTTTATAATGAGCGATCAAATTTATATTTTCAAAGCTTTACATAGACTCTGTGATTTGCAATCACAAAGTTTTTTATTATTTAAATGCTGCTGGTTTTCCTGAAATTTGCAAAGGTTCCCCATAATGAAAACAAAAATATTGATTTTTGAATATTGCTTTTTAATTACTATGCATTTCGATAGACGTCTATTACGGGGTTCGATCAATTGATTTAGTTCTTGCGGTCAGGTACGGGTGGGTTGGCAGCGATCCATTCCAGAGAGCGCTTAATGGCCTCTGGGATTGGGGGAGCAACGGGCAGGCTGGCGCTGCTGGGCTGGTATCCGTTCTCATCGGCCACATACTTGACCTCGATCACCTCACCCTCGGGGGAGATCCAGCTGAAGCTGCCATGGATGTTGCCATGAACATCGCCGCTATCGATGCGCACGATGTGGTTGTCGGTCTCCAAAGAGGCGTCGAAGCCATCGGGGCGCACATCGTCCTTGCGGCTAAGGACTTCAGCCTTCGACTCATCACCGACTGGCAGAGCGACGGCCATGGCGATAACAGCGCAGATCAACACCTGAGTGGAAAAGAATTCAATTTAATCACTGGCTATCCTTGGCATCCTTGAGAGAGTACTCACGAGTTTGAACATTTTGATAATTATTGCAGTTGTTGATTGTCGAGACAAGCCTTGACTGATGCTCCACTCTAGATAGTCAACGGCTTTTATACAGCTTTCTCTGACGCAACTGCATATGAGAAGACCTGTATCTGAGCTAAAAAAAATGCAAATTTTGGATCGTAAATGTTTTAATGCAATTAACATTTTAGCACTGAATTTCCATAACTCTTTCAGAGCCTTGGCATCAATGACTGGCAACAATTGTATTTAGAAGCCATTGTGGCATATTTATTCTGTATTCTATAGAACTAAATGGTAAACTAAACCCAAATTTCCTTAATTAAGTGATGCATAAATATGCCAAGCATATGTATATACGATAATTTAGCGTAAGTCGGCCACATATGATAAAAAACGGTTGAAGTTCCACCCGATTGACATCGCTAGGTAATGAGAAACAGGAAAAAGAAGCCTCAGACCTGTTCGTGGATATCTTTAATATCGAACATAAATATTGAGACCAGTTTGTTCAATTGAAGCTGTGTATTTATATAATATTATTTCTATAGCCATCGTTTGCCCTATAATGCAGGGAGTAACCCAGCCGAATATATTAGCAGTTTAATATAATTTAAAGCCGTTAATTATTTTGATTGCTGAACACTTTCAGCATGGAATGGTGGTTCACTTAATACCCTATATCAAGTGTAGAGCTCAGCTTGTGTTCAACACGATGCGCACTCCCTAATATTCATTGCAAATATATACATATACATACATATTATTAATTTTAATTTATTTATTTATTAAATTCATAAACCGTAATTTTTATATATTATTATATTAACATTTATATAGACCAGAAAGTCTTAGATTAGAAAACAATTTAAAAAAAACATCAATGAAAGAAAAATACAAAAATCAATAAATAAGTAAATAAATAAAGGGCAATTTAATTTGGTGATTTGAATTGTAATCGGTACATAAAAAAAAATTGTATATAACACATATATATGATATTTTTAATGTAGAGTGTAAAACATTCAATTTACTCAATAACAAATCATGTTAGTCAAAACGTTTACAAATTAATACAATGCAGTGCATTACTTATTGCATTTTAATTTTTTTATATTATTTACTGTAAATTTGAATATTTCAATGACGTCAAAAAATGTACCTCTGAATACTCAGATGCCTGAAAACAGTTGATCATACTTTTATCATTCTGCGATCGCATAATTAAATTTGCAATAAGCTTAAATCATATCTATATGAACAATAAAGTAAAATTTTAACAATGTGCTGGCAGAACCGGACTTTAATTATTATTATTTTTATTTTTATTTTATTTTTTTTGTCAAGTTATGTTAATTTTAAATTTACGACTTTTAATATATAAATACGGCAAAATATATATAAATAACTTATGTAGCTGGTAAAAAGTTATATATAGAAAGTTAAAGAAACGAGCCTCAGTTAAGCCTAATAATTCACAATTTCATAAGTCACATTCACTGTGTTGATAATTGTTTTTAATATATAAAAAAAAAATTCATCATTTACATGCAAAAAAAAGTAACATTTTAAATTTTAAAATCATATTTTGACTTAGGTTAATTAGTATGTAATTATAATGACTTTTTCTTCTCTCTGTTCGCCCTTTATTAGTATATATTTATTAATTATTTTATTTATTATTTATTTATTATTTTAAATATTTTTATAGAGCTATAGAGCTATATTAATCTCTAAGCTATATATAAATAAAAAATAAAATAAATGCAGAATAAATAATCAAATAATAAATATTCAAGCTTTATATGTTTTTTTCTTTTTTTTTTAATAAACTTTTCCGAAATTTTACTTAAGTTTTCAATGGAAATAGTAAAAAGTTTAGTATAAAAAAATTGTATAGAAAAAAAATATTGTTATAGAGTTTTTGTCTTATACTTAGTTTCATTCAATCATTGGGATCACATTACAACTATTATGAAATCTGAATCATGCACTAAGGTTTTTCAATATTCCTTAGAACAATTCACCTTACTTAGCCAAAAGAGATTAAGAGCAATTCATTTACATTTAAGAAATGTCAGATTATTTAACAAAGCTCAGCGTATGCAGCTCATAGTTATATATGAAATCCGGTTTCTTTTCCAAACTACTTTAACAATAGACAAACTTTAACTTGTGATTATATTCATTTATTTTGCGTTAAAGAAAGATCAATCAAGCCTTCGACAGATCCATTCAACTCAAAAAGTTCTTAGTGTTCGGGTGCGGGTGGGTGAGCAGCAATCCATTCCAGAGAGCGCTGGATGGCCTCTGGGATTGGGGGAGCAACGGG